GATGCTGCTGTAAATGTAAGTGACATGTAACATCCTAATCCAGAGGAGTGCCTCAGGCCTCATGTCATTGAGGGTCGAAGTAAGGAACTAGCCTCCAGCCCCATGGCAATTCATTAAGAGGGTGCCAAGTTGACGCGATTCAGATTGATGAGTCTGTTAGTCATGACAATTTGGAGATCTTATGTAGAGGGTTACGTGGAGCAGTGACCTAGACTTGACACATGGAGGAGTTCCATCTTGTCATGTTTCTAGTGGTCACAGCCATGTTGCAGCTTCGCAGGAGACTTAGATATCGGAAACTGTAAGTTCTGGGGGTTCAATTTCATATCTTGTTTTCAGTCTTTGTGATTGTGCAGGTTTAACATTGAGGGGGAAAAGATTGATTGATGTGTTTTGTTTGAAGACAGGTCGCCAAGGTATAGTTATGAAATCTGAATATACTCCTCTTGTTGTACTGTCTGACATTGTGTTAATACTCTATACAGCTATGATTAAAGCCTTCATAACACTATACTGAGGTCTGATAACTATTTTAACAGTGTATCAGAGTGCATGGATTATACCCCTTTGTTCCCATTGGTGGACTTATATACAGTGTTCTGGAGGCCCCGAATCTATACACAGCAGAGGTGTTCATGACGATTTCACAGCTATCCCAGAGACTGTATACCGATGTGGTCTGTATACCGATATTAACTTGAGCTTCACTGGGTGCTGATGTCCTAAAATGCAGTTTTTGAAATTAAGCAGGATCCTGTCATACTTGAATTATGCTGCTGTAGTGTTTGAACTTAAATGTCATATTTACTGCTTTACTGCTTGCCTCTCATGCTTAATTTTGACAGCTAGCAATATATATCTCAATGTGGTGATACAATGATATACACCCATGATGTCACAGTCCTCCATCATTGAGGGAAATAACCACAAATATCAACTAACCCAAATTGGGATAACATGTTGTAATACTCTCCAAAATTCCATTAGCCCCTAGAATATCTATAACATTAGTAAAACTAGTCAGAGCTATCAGGCACCTGCTAATTTTTGTTCTTGTACAACTTGTACTAGTGTTAGTGCTAGCAGGTCGGGCTCAGGGCGGTGAAAATGGCTCGTTTTGAACGGCACTTCTTTCATATTACGCAATCTCACGCCGTTTACCCAATTTTAATATTGTTGATATATACATCAAGATAAAGGAGAAATGTTGCTCTTTATGCTACGCGATGTTACAGATTGCAAACGGACTTACCTTGCAAATGGCGAGTACTTGAAAATGGGGGAGTTTTTCAAACACCAATTCCACAACGTTCCGCTTCATTCGTCGAAATATAACATATACCACATGAAAGACCATCTTCTGATCTTATTGTCCACCAATTTTTATGACATTTCAACTCAAAACAGCAGCACCACGGTGCTTTGAAAATTCCCTGATGAAACTGGGCACTGCCATCAAACGGTCCACGGGACGGGACCTTTGACAGATTGACAAAGCTGACATTCACCTCGCTGTCACTAATTAACTGAACAAACAACAAACACCATTTTTTGAAATTATTTACTTTAATGTGTTGTCTAAACATATCAGAAGAAATAACTGAAAAAGATTCAAAAGTTTTTCTGTAGTAAACGAATAAAGAAAATATTCCAGGGTAATTAGCCAAATCTAGTCAATTAGTGGTGGGCTGTGGTATAGCTACTTGTAGTAATGCCTGGCTGATGAGATAGTGACTGCCCAATCAATCTTCCTCTGGGTTTTAACAGTGCAAATGGATGATAAATATTATTCTTATATGTCTAAAGTATGGATTTCCTCAGCAGCTGTGCGCCTGTGTGATAATATCCAAGCTTGTCCTCAGCCACTGTGCCTGTGTGATAATGTCCAATCTTGTCCTCATCCCCTGTGTCTGTGTGATAATATCCAATCTTGTCCTCAGCCACTGTGCCTGTGTGATAATATCCAATCTTGTCCTCATCCCCTGTGTCTGTGTGATAATATCCAATCTTGTCCTCAGCCACTGTGCCTGTGTGATAATACCCAATCTTGTTCTCATCCCCTGTGTCTGTGTGATAATATCCAATCTTGTCCTCAGCAGCTGTGCACCTGTGTGATAATTAGGGGTGGGTATTGCAGAGAATTTTCATATTGCGATATATTGTGATGCGGAAGCGTATATTGCGATATGTATTGCAATATATTGCAAGGATTATTTTTTTAACAAAAACTACTTATAATCGAGTTAATGCTTGATTATAAAGCAAAAACACAACAAAATCACTATGATTGATTAACCTTTTATAAAAACTTTTAATCATGACAAAGTAAAAATGTAAGTAACATTTGGCACTAATGAAACAGGGAAAAGAACAATTAAAAAGACGGAAATATCCGAAGATTTCCGACTGTTACGAAGTTTTCCGAATGCATGTCAAAATACCAGTGTCAAAATACCAGTTTTCGATCAGCGTATCGCAATACGTATCGTTTTCATGTCTGCACCAGTAAATACCGGTAAACCGTTTATACTGCGCATCCCTAGTGATAATACCCAATTTTGTCCTCATCCCCTGTGTCTGTGTGATGATATCCAATCTTGTCCTCAGCCACTGTGCCTGTGTGATAATACCCAATCTTGTTCTCATCCCCTGTGTCTGTGTGATAATATCCAATCTTGTCCTCAGCAGCTGCGCGCCTGTGTGATAATACCCAATCTTGTCCTCAGCCACTGTGTAATAATATCCCCTTGTAGTGTCACTGGAAGCAGGGGATATTTTAATTGTTCAACATTGTTCAACAAAAATTGGTAGATATATCAAACAGAACCTAAGGTGGTGCCTTTTGCTATTTACAAATTGTTGCCATTTTAATTTTCATGAGTTCCATGGAAACGTTTTGGACTTAGTCTCAAAAAGGAGGGGTGGGCTTCATTTCCGGAGCACAACTCGAAAACCTTTCAATATCTTTCAGCAAAACTTGGCAGATATATGAGACAGATCTTGAAGTGGTGCCTTTTGCTATTTACAGATTTTTAGCATTTAAATATTTCATGATTTCCATGGAAACGATTTGGACTTATCCAAAAATATAAATCAAGTTGGACTTCAAGTAACTGTCAGATGATTTGTTCTTTCAAATATGTGGGGGCTGGGGGGATATGATAAGTTGTATGCTTCTCTCGAGGGTAATACGGTCTGATGTACGCCTCTTTGTAGCAGTGTCACCCGAGCCGGTAGGCGAGGGATGACACTGATACAAAGACGCATACATCAGACCGTATTACCCGAGGGAGAAGCATACAACATATTTATCTTACCGCCATGTTAAATGTACAAAATATAATTTTATTTTATGTTAAAGATCGCTACCGACTATATGACATGCAAACAAACTGGCGTCTGCCTCTTGACTGGATTTTAAACATCAGTGAAACATATTCTGACAAGCATAAAACTGCTATAAAAATTGTTAATTATGTTTAAGCTGAGTGTGCAAACCACTCAGTGTATAAAATAGCTTAAATAAAGCAGTGAAAGTCGGTAATATATATCTGTACAAAGTGAACACAAAAACAGCTGATCGAATGGTTTTCGAACTCCGGGCACGGCATGCGTCATATTATGACATCATACGGTTGTTAACGCTTCAGCTTCTCAGGCGGGGAGCTTGGCGGTTACCATGACAGCGGGTAATGGTTTTTTCAGTTGTCACCCTCCAGGGAGGGTGACACGGAAACTTGTTAAACCATCATTGACCAATGAAATTAAAGTATTTTACATGAAGGTAAGATAAGTCATCTTCTGATGACTCTGGGGCGGTGGGGTAGCCTAGTGGTTAAAGCGTTGGCTCGTCACGCCAAAGACCCAGGTTCGAATCCCCACATGGGTGCAATGTGTGAAGCCCATTTCTGGTGTCCCCGGCCGTGATGTTGCTGGAATATTGCTAAAAGCGGCGTAAAACCAAACTCAGACAGTCTGATGACTGTTGTATACCATCCTTATGGAAGTTACTAGTGGCACAGGCCTGATTGTTTGTTTGATGCTGCACTTGGCACTGTTCCAGCTGTGTTACAGTGGTCCATGAATAACTGAGTCTGGACTGGAGAGACAAGTGATTGATGTTATGAACATTGTTATACATGATTGTTGTACATGATTGTTATACAGACATATGGTGACCTGCATAAAGGATGAAGCATACAAGTTTATGGATGACAACTTCTCTATTGCATAGAGCGACATTTCAATGTAGATTCTTACACCGTTATTAAGCTTTTATGCTTTATCTTTGACTCACCAACTTCTAGAATGCCAATCAAACAATGTGTAAAAGAGCCTGACCGTCCCATTTGCATGGTTAATCACCTCTTCAGAGAAGTATTGGTCGGTGATCTTCCAATTGTGACGACTCTTACACCATTTTTGTAACTAGCTGTTATACACCAAAACCATGGATATGATTAGGGCTGTTTAAAAAGATTGGTAATTGGAAATATTGTCAATGGGAAAAAGGATTAGTGATTAGCGACCGAAAATTATGTCATAGATAATACCTTACATAAACTGTTACTGAAATGTGCTCATACAATACGCCTTTATGAAGTTTTATTCATGGGTTGCTTCTAAATTATGTCTAGGAGGCTGTTTTGTTAGTAGTGAGTGAGTGAGTTTAGTTTTACACCGCTTTTAGCAATATTCCAGCAATATCACGGCTGGGGACACCAGGAATGGGCTTTACACATTGTGCCCATGTGGGGAATCGAACCCAGGCCTTTGGCATGACGAGTGAACGCTTTAACCACTAGGCTACCCCACTGCCCCTGTTTTGTTAGTAAGCCATTAACCTAAATATGTCACTCATTTTCACCAGTGATGTGAAATATGTTTGTTTCTTTCGGACCTTTTTGTTATTTTTGCTTTAAGTGACTTCTCTGATATTTATCATTAATTAGTAGATATTTAGGGCCACAGTATTGAGTGATGTATCCCCTGTGTTCTAGAGGTGGCAGCGGTGGGGGTGGAGAGAAGACAGCTCATCTGGAACAGAAACTGTACAAGTTGCAGGAGGAACTCACAGAACTACACCGGAAGAGAGGGGAGGTATGTAGTAGCAGTGGTAGTGGGTGAAGTAGCTGTAGTAGTAGTAGTAGCAGTAGTAGTAGTAGTAGCTGTAGTAGTAGTAGTAGCAGTAGTAGTAGTAGCTGTAGTAGTAGTAGTAGTAGTAGTGATGGTAGTTTTAGTATTTGTAATCAGGGCTCGATTTAAAGAAATGAAACCTACTTGCACCCAGTGCAACCTTAGGTAGAAACCTTGTTGCATCAGACGAAAACAGGTTGCACCTGCTGCTCAATATATAATCTTGTATAAAATATGATGCTTGAGTTTTGGTAATGATAGTTTAGAACATTATAACAAAAGAAACCTGGGACTGATAAGATTAGTTATCTTACTTCCTAAATTTTCATGAAGGATGTAGATGTTGTAGTATCTTGTTTATCATCATCAATATTTTGTTTATGATTTCCCTTTGGTTTCAGAATGCGCAGCAGATTATTGACCTCAAGAATGTTTTACAAGAAAAAGAAAAGGAATCACAACTAAAAGATGCAAAGTAGGTTGAAGGCTGTTGGGCAGTCCCAATACAATAGTGCTGCCTTTATCATTAAGGGAATATGTTAGTGACCTTGTTTGACTTGTTTATACGAATAGTGATAAAAGTGATATGAAGTATTTCATAATTGATGGATTAGTGTGGTACTATCTACAATCAGGGACATCTCATGCACGCACGCACGCACGCACGCACACACACACACACACACACACACACTCTTTATTTATTTCTTATTCTTTATTCTGCAAGCACACATGATTACATTTATTCTGAGAAAATATGATATGTTATATTATAAAATGCTAAGTTTCAGCTGTAAAAGAATTATGGCTTCTGAGCCTGAAGTAAAACATGACATATATGAAGTACCCAGTTGTACGATGAGGGCTGGTCGTCTGACAGTGTGCCGAGGAAGTAACATGTTGACCTGTGTATGATGTTTGACAGATTGTCCGACTCTGAAGCTAACATTCTGGCCCTGAAGAGTGCACAGCGGCAGCTGGAGAACACCATCATTGAGTTGGAGGCCACCAACCAGGTCAGTGGGGAGTAGGTCTGTGTATTGGGTTGTTGTTGGTTGGTTGGTTTACGTCGCACTCAGCAATATTCCAGCTATATGGCGGTGGTCTGTAAACAATCAAGTCAGGTCCAGACAATCCAGTGATCAACATCATGAGCATTTGTCTTCGTAATTGGGATACAATGACATGTGTCAACTAAGTCAGCGAGCCTGACCGCCTGATCCCGTTAGTCGCCTCTAACGACAATCAATTCTAAACCAGATCTTCACGGGTACTGTGTATTGGAAAAAATGTGTGTTGCAACATTTTGTGATATTGATAAAGTGTTTTGATAATGATTGACACTTGCAGGTCCTATTTCCTACATTTTCATAAATATTTCTCTGCATGGTCAGTCACTGCCATTGTGTTGACATGGAATCAAGGGAGATAACAATGTGAGGGAAATACCACTCCTGCTTTTCCAAAAGAAACTTCGATTAAACAAAACATCATTTGTGAATATCTGAATAGATTTTAGGTTAAGTGATACAAACAATATGGACATTTATTATTTAGTTTTATTTACCTGGACACAGAAAAGATACTGTAAAAGTTTAAAACTCTGCTTATGCATATGTGTAGTGAATATTGCAAAGTACAACATATTTTAAGATGGCCTGGTGAATAAAGCTTTATCACATGGAATATCAAGTCTGTACTCCTTCTTACAGTTCTCCAGGTTTTCGTCTAAAATTTTGCAGGAATGTTGAAATAACGTTACATGTGACAACAAAACCAACTCTCTTTCTACTCACCCACTCAATATTGTTATCATCTTGCAATTTATTAAATATGGCTAAATAAACTCTTATACCTTAGTTAGTTTGTATATACAATGAAACCCAACTCACTCACTCACCCACTGTTTACACCAGATGCTGAAGGATGAGCACCAGGCCCTTCAGTTGGCGTTCACAGCGCTGGAGGAGAAGTACCGTAGGTAATGGAAGAGAACTGTGAGCTGGTGCAGCGATGGATGGATCTCAAGGCCAAGGACGCAGACAAACTCAACGAGGAGAATGACGACTTCCTCAAGTAGGTGGCAGAACTATAGATAGACTCTAGGTCACCTAACAACAACCTTGAGCCTTGGGACTTGTTTTACAATCTATAAGTCTCAATTACCAGTTGGGATTGTATTTAATGTAATAAAAGAGGACAGACAAATCTTATACATTGACAATGTGATGTTTGGTTATGCCAGTGACACACACTGAATGTTTATGTTTGTTTGCAGGAAACGACAAGCACAGTTGCGGAAAGATCTTGCCGATGCTGCAAAGGAACCTGTTTCAATAACAGAAACGTGAGTAGTGTCGGAACAGGTGCTCACAGTCGGGATGAAATTGTTTCAGTCGTGTAAGCTCAGTTACTAATAGTCCATATTATGATAAATTGCTACCAAGAACAATGATAATGATCCTGGTGATATTGGAGTCCTGGAAGTGAGGGGTCATTTATTATAGGGAGGGGGCATTAATGTATTGAAAATATATGCCCTCCTCTAAAGCTTCTGATACTTGTAAATGACTCTGTCTTTGTCCTTGTACAATGAGATGATGTCCTCAAAGAGACAAAATGATAAGGCCTATTTTGTATATAAATGTCTGATTTTTCTTGACCCTCCCTAAATAGTTGTATTATTTTCAATGATTCTCCCTAAGAGACTGTCACATGTTTTGGTGACCCTGGCCTGATTCCTACTGACCCAGCCCACTCAATAGTAAATGATTCATCCTTAAACCTTTTTATTAACTTTAGGATTGTGACAAGGACCATTTATTTTTCATGCTTTATTTTAAAAACTGCTTCTGCTTAAACAGGTCAACATTAATGTTGTGGATTGCCTCAGTCTCTGTGATTTCCTCCGACATCATCACAGACAGCATGACATAGATACACATGTGTTGCTGACCCGGCCCCCCCTGTTTGTTTCAGCGGGAAGCTCCTGCTTCCAGGGATCACCCCCATCTGTCTCAGTGCCTCCATACCAAGCAAAGCACAGTGTGTGTTTGTGAGTACCCCACCACTTGTTGTAACTCGGTGTATGTTGCAACCTGTGAAGGTCCGGGTTAGAATATTGATCTTCAGTAACACATGCTTGTCGTAAGAGGCGACTAACGGGATCAGGTGGTCAGGCTCGCTGGCTTGGTTGACACAAGTCATCGGTTCCCAGTTGCGCAGATTGATGCTCATGCTGTTGATCACTGGATTGTCTGGTCTAGACTCGATTATTAACAGACTGCCGCCATATAGCTGGAATATTGCTGAGTGCTGCGTAAAACTAAACTCACTCACTCACTCACTCAGTGTATGTATGCTAGTCTGCAATATGTGTCAGTATCTTGTATGTGATCAAGTCTGGACCAGACAAACCAGTGGTTGATAGCACGAGTAACAACTACATCATTTTGTGAATGTATGTTGTTTTATGGCATTGTCAGCATTAGTACAGCTATGTCATCATGGTTTGTGCATGATCAAGTCTAGACAAGACAAACCTGTGGTTGACAGCATGAGAAACAAGTACCACATGGTGTGATTGGGTTTATGTTCTTTTGTGCCACTGTTGGCATTATTTTGGCAATGTCTTATTTGTGGCCTGGCTTGAATTGAATCAGGGCCCCGTTTCACAAAACTATCGTAGCGCTACGACTGTCGTAAGTCTTTGTTACAGTATAGGAGGTACAACAGTTGTAGCAGTACGATAGCTTTGTGAAACAGAGGTCCTGGGCCAGAAGAACTAAATTTATTACACAATGTTCAAATGAACGTTGTTTGATGCCCAAGTCAGCAATTTTACGACTGTGTCACCGTCGTCAGCAGATGTTCAGATCTGATCTGTAAAGTACTATATATTCATCACTAGTTTGTTTTAGGCCACTGTTAGCATTATTATGGCCATGTCTTTGGCCTGCCATAAAACAAATCAGGGCCAGGAGAAATAATTTAACCAAGATGTTCAAATGAATGATGTTTAGCAATATTGCTGCTGTGTCACTGTGGTAAGTGAATGTTCAGGTCTGATATGTATAGTGGTATATTTTCATCACTAGTTTGTTTGTTTCTTTCAACATCATGTTTCAAATAACTGTGGACGTGTGGAAGGTTAGTCTGTGTTGATCAAAATGTAATTCAGTTTATATTTATTTCTCGTTTCAGAGACATCATGTCAGTACAATAAATGCTAAACCTGAATACTTACTTACAGGATGCTCATGAAGGGGAGGTAAATGCTGTGCAGTGGAGCGGCACTGGGAGACTGTTTGCAACTGGTAGTGCCGATAGGAAAATTAAACTCTGGGAAATTATTAATGGTGAGCTTTCTTAAAATCATAGCTAGAGATAGATTTATAGACATTGATACTTTTCATGCGCCATTTGAGATTGACATCCAATGATTGAGGGAAAAAACAAAGCGCCTTTGAGGAGCTGAGCTGGATATTGGTGCTATACAAATATTAGCATTATAATAATAATGAAAAAGTGACCAGACCTCATTTTTGTTCAATAAATACTAGTAAGTGTGTAAGTATGTTTTTTCGCCACTTTTAGCAATATTCCAGCAATATCACGGTTGGGGACACCAAAAACGGGCTTTACACATTGTGCCCATGTGGGGAATCGAACCTGGGTCTTCGGTGTGACGACACTTCAACCACAAGGTTACCCCACCGTCCCTCAGGAAATAATAATCTTTCAAAAATATTTGCTGCTGACCCAATAGAAATTGTCCTTTTCTATTTCATGTCCCTCCCAACTGTGGGAACTCCCTTGTGTGTTCACCAATACAGAGTTGCCTCCCTTAGTTATGCCAGGATTTTGCTGATGTTAATGAACCTGGTCCATGTGCAACCTAAGTAGTGCTAACATACACGGAATGGCAGTTGAAGGAGAAGGTCTGGTGTTAAAATCAGACATTTTATGTCAGCTGTGTGTGTGTACAGACATGTTTGTTTGATTTCTGTTTAGCGTTGCACCTAGCAATATTCCAGCTATATGGCGGCGGTCTGTAAACAATCAAGTCTGGACCAGACTATTCAGTGATGAGTATCATAAGAGATCAATATACGCAATTGTGATACAGCCATGCATTTGTTAATGATATTACAGGCAAATGTGAACAGAAGGGCATCCTGACGGGTAGCAACGCTGGCATCATGGCGATAGAGTTCGACATTGAAGTAGGTGGCCACAGGCACAATACCAATACACGTACTATGCAGATTATTTGGACTTACCTGGGCCCTGAAGCTCACATGATCTGACCGCCTCCGTGGCGTAGTGGTTAGAGCGTCCGCCCTGAAAGCGGAAGGTCGTGGGTTTGATACCCGACCGCGTCATACCAAGAGATGTTAAAATATGGTACTTGTTGGTCCCTGCCTGGCGCTCGGCATTATTACAACAAGGACTGGTCGACTCGGAGTCAGTATAATGTGTCTGAGTGGGGTTTTTCATGCTTCACTGCGGCATGGTATCTCAGTGAGCTAGCACTATAAAACCAGCTTCAGTCTGGGCTAGTACAAGCGGCCGCACATACACATACACACGCATGCACGTCGTCATATGAGCAAAATATTCTCAAGCACGACGTTAAACCCAATTTCACCTGACCTCACATGATCACACCGCTGAGGAGATCGTAACTCAGTATGTTTACATTGGCACTAAGTCGTGGTGCTATGATCAGTTTGTGGAACTGGACCTTGAATGATATTTTTGCTTTCCTTTATTGACTTGTATTTCATACTTTCCAAGTCTATTCCAAAAGCTTTCAAGAATACAGGCCAAGACAAGGCTCTTTGCATAATTTACCTTTTAGTTATTTTGGTCATTTTTTGCTGACCAAGCAGAATGTTCCTGGACTCAGGTTTCGTACTAGTGGCTAAAGCTGCAGCCTGATTTCCTTATTAGTAAGTTTATGTAGACCAGCTGGTTGTGTGACATCACAATACATTGTCCATTGAGGTCAGTCAACTCATTCAAAGGGAGATAATTCTTGATGTACTCTCGGGTTGTTAACCTGTTGGATCATCTTGGATTTGATTCTAATCATGGCCACACAAGTGAAGCCTGTTCACTCGCAATTATTAAGTGGCTGACATATTAACAAAAAGGCGCAGATACAAACGAAAATTAGTTTCAGTATTTCACATGAAACATTATTATGTAGCTCATGAATTTATGTCTAATTAATACACATTAAATTACTAATACCAGAACATTTTACCAAGGCTCAGAATTTATAAAATTCATTCATTTGGATGAAATAGTCAGTCCTTGATGAGGAAGTTGAGCATTAATTCATGAGCATTGGTTCGTTTCAGGACAGCTTAATTCTTGGTGCTTCTAATGACTTTGCAAGTCGAGTGTGGTCTGTGGCAGATCAGCGATTACGGGTAAATATGTAGAGAGTTTAAATATGGTTAAAAATAATGGATGTAATGAAAATCCATCTCAAGCAGAGGTGTTGTAATGATTTCACATGCACTTGACCTTATGCCAATATCATTGTTGATGTAACTAACACACTATCTCAATGTCACTCGAGTGAAGACTAAAGATGTCACAGACTTTGATTATTGATGTTATGTTGTCTCAGTTATGTTGTCTATCAACACTGTACATACATGTGATTCTGAGTTAGTGTATTGCATTCTTGTGGGTAATGGATTTTACAAAACTTTGTCCAGAATTCATGTTTATCCTCACTAGGAAATACAATGTGTATGATAATTTCTTAGACACTGGTATAAAATGTGTACGATAACATGTTAGACCCTGATATGTCATATGTAAAATAACATTGTAAATCATGGTATATAATATATAAGACCTGATATACAATACGTATAGTCCCATGTTTGACTGTGGTATACAAGGCATATGGTACCATGTTTGACTGTGGTATACAGTACGTATAGCACCATATTTGACCTGGTATACAATACGTATAGCACCATGTTTGATGCCGGCATACAATACATATTGTACCATGTTTGACCCTGGTATACAATATGTATAGTACCATGTTTAACACTGGTATACGGTACATAGGGTACCATGTTCGACCTTGGTATACAATACGTATAGTACCATGTTTAACCCTGGTATATGGTACATTGAGTACCATGTCTGACCTTGGTATACAATACGTATAGTACCATGTTTGACCGTGGTATACAGTACATAGAGTACTATGTTTGAGCTTGGTATAGAGTACCATGTTTGACCATGGTATACCTATGGTATCACCCATCTGTGATGTATGCATGTTACAGCACACACTGACGGGTCACAGTGGCAAGGTGCTGGCAGCCAAGTTCCTGGGGGACACCAACAAGGTTGTATCGGGCAGCCATGACAGGACGCTCAAAGTATGGGACCTTCACAGCAAGGCATGTAAGTATCTCTGTGTTTACCCCTCAGTTTTGTAACTAACGACCCATATGGTTACCCCAGGCAACACCCAATAAGCACTTATTAGGATATTTAAATATTTTTCCTTATCCTGACTCATGCTCTTTGGCTTGTCTTCTTCTTCTTGCGAACATAGTGGAACACTTGTATCTCCTTATTTGAAGCTCCCTTCAAAATAAAATCACTAATTGGTACTCACCACGAGTTGCTCCCCTTTGTTTCCCCTGGCGGGAAAGGTGTCGCCACCCTCTGGCCATGTGGTTCACTCTCTCCTTCTTCGCCCAGTGAGCAGGATGTGAGAGCGCCTCGTGTCTCCTTACACACCATATCCTTTGATAATCTCTTAGTTTTTACCTCTCATAGGTTACTATAGAGGTATAGCTAGTATCCTTTACTATTTGTATTGATTAATTATCGTTATTTCTACTGTTTATTCACGTGTATTCGTGATTGTTCAGCTAGCTTTACGTTGATGAAAATCTGTACGATTTGTAGATTACGTTTTCTGCCTCCGATCCACATGTAATATGCCCTAGTTGTTCTACGCGTGTGCGTTTAATTCACGTTGCAGTTACTGCATTAATTTATCTCATTCTGCATTTAATAAATATCATCTTTGCGTCTTAAGACGTGCTGCAGATAGATCACGCAAACAAGGGCAAAACATGGCAGAGAGTCCAGATATTCCATCCAGTCAGCTGCTAGCGATCGACCCTCTCCCGTCTGGTGTTCTGCTAGAGACCCCTTCGGTAGAGGAACGTGGGACGCAGTCCGTTACCTCGAAGAAACGACCGGCCTCCCCAGACATCCCGTCATTGCAGACCAAGTCTAAGAGGGCCTCATCGTCGTCTCAACGCAGATTGAGGACACCCAGGGCAGCGCAGACTTCCAAAGGGAAATCTACGAAGACAGCAAGAACTTTCTCAGCCGAGATCGTTCCAGCAGCAGAATTGGGCCTCTACGATGATCAGCCGATAATCATCCCCGACTTACGGCAGAAGAAGCGACCGGTGTCAGCGACTGTGACTTCTGCAGAGATCACCATGCAGCCTGATGCCTCTACACCGGCGTCAGGCGTCATTGATGTGAACCCCATCGCAGAAAAGACGCCCGACGACTTCGTCACAGATCATCCCAGAAGACATGATGCGGCAGATTATGAACATCATGGAGGACCACTACAAACTCGCCAAAGCAGGTCCGAGCCCAGCGAAGGCTCCAACGTGAACAGCACCCCAGAGGCACCCCGTCAACGTAGCAGCCAAGGCGATGTCACCTTCGGCGAAGGAAGTCCCGCACCACCTTGACGAAGGACCTAGATGTACAGCCTTCGCGAAGGCCTTCGCGAAGGCGGGAGAGATCATCACCATCTTCGATTTCATCTCTAGATATGGACTCAGACCATCAGACATCACGGAGGCCTTCGCGAAGGTCATATCATCGATCCCCCGGACCGGACGCAAATGAAGCTTCGCGAAGGCATTCGCGAAGAACATATGATTCCAGATCCTCATCATCTAGAAGAACATCGAGGGACTGCCGAAGAGCTGCGCGAAGCTATCAATATTCACCTCACAAGTCTCCGAGAAGATCATCCCATAGACGATCTCCACTTCGTTCATCACCCGTCAGATCTCCACATAGAGCGGCACACAAGTCAACTAGATCGCCACAAACCTCATCAGATATACAGACAGCTACACGCAGTCCCGAAGAGCATCTACAATTTGTTAATGATGATGGTTTTGAGGATGATGGAGGAATCATATTTTCTGATGCAGAGATACGGTATTGGATGGTCAATAACCTAGATCTCACATCACCATCTAAAAGTGGCAATACAGCGCAGACGTATTTGATGAAGGAAGATGATCCAGATGCAATCACTCTACCCCCGATCGACCCGATTGCGGCAGTGCCACAGAATCTAGATGCAGCTTTCCAGAAAGCTACGAAAGTTCAGACACCACATCTGCCCAACTTTCAAGCCAAGAAGTTCTCCACGCATAACATGGACTCCTTCTACAAGGCCCAGGACATCGATGAGAACTGTAAGATCATCAGCGATGTAAAGAACAAGATTTACAAGATGGATGATCGCAAGTTGGCTCATATAGAAACCATGACGAGACGTATGTTCTTTGGGTTAAATAGATCTAGGACGATCAATGAGACTCTTATTACTAGATTCCGGGATTCCACGACGGAAGATGATAGAATGATTTATTCTGCCTTACTTATGCAAAAAGAAAGATCAGCAGTTTTAACGGATCATCTTACATCTGTTTCAGCAGCACTGACCTTAGCTCGTCGTCAAGGCCTCCTCGCCTCCTGTAATTGGGGGGAGAACTTTACAGCCCCACTTTATACAGCCCCGTGGTCGACAACATCCATCTTTGACGGAGGAATCGACAAGGTCGCCAAGGAAGTCTCTAAGGATTCCAGGGAAGTCCTTATGATTAGATCGATGGACACACTAGCCAGCGTCATTCGTCAGACTTCACAAAGATACTCAGGCAGATCTAAGTTCACGGGCCTACAAAGAGCAAGAGACAGGAAGATAGCCAGCTCTAGAGGTAAAGATTCTTTTCGTCGCCCATATGGCAACTATAGAGGAGGATCAGGAAGAGGCAGGACACCCAGAGGTTCCCGCAATTATAGACGCTGAAACACAGGTTCGGAACGACTGGAGTCTTCCACCCCCAGCCGTTCCAGTACAGCCAGCTCAAGTGGGTGGACGCCTCAACTACACTGGGAAAACTGGGGAATATTGCAAGACCCTTTACGTCTCCAACTTTCTTCAACACGGATTTTCAGATCCCTCTACAGGCCAAGCCTCCGCTGACAATCAAACCCCCAAGTTCGATTTACAAGCTGCAACAACTACCAAAGATAAGAGAGGCTGTTTCATCACTCCTATCCAAACAGGCCATAGAAGTAATAGATCAAGCAAACGTCGAACCAGGTTTCTACTCCCCAGTTTTCCTAGTTCCCAAGAAAAACTCCACGGAGAAATACAGACTCATCTACAACATGAGCTTTTTCAACAAGAACTATCTACGCAAACCACCGAAGTTTCAAGATGATACATTTACCTCAGTTACACCAGATGATTCGGCCCTATGGACTACATGGGCAGCATAGATCTACAGGATGCCTACCTGCACATCCCCATTCATCCCGATTCCAGGAAATACCTACGATTTACTCTAGAAGGGCTACATTACCAGTGGAAAGTACTCCCATTCGGAATATCATCAGCCCCCTGGCTATTCACGAGGATAACGAAAACCGATTATCAAATTTCTACATTGTCAAGGGCTACGCGAGTGCGCTTTACCCTCGACGACGGGATACAAGTAGATCAAGATCCACTGCGTCTCAAACTACAGTTAAATTACATCATAAAGCTACTAACACAACTAGGTTGGTTAGTAAACTTACGCAAGTCGGACCTAGTACCATCGCAAGACCTGCAGTTCCTAGGTATTCGATTCATCACAAATCGCAACCGTATTATGGTACCAGAAGACCGCTTGGCTCAAGATACAGCAGACCATTCCACCAGCTCTACTCTCTCCGCTACCACTCGCGACAATGGCAGAGCCTACTAGGTCTTCTCACATCAGCCCAAGACATGACTGTCACAGGCAGATTACAGTTACGCCCCCTACAGGTCTCATCAACGCACATCTCAACGATGTACAACCATTCAGTCTACCAAAACATCTCAGACCGCATCTACTATGGTGGACCAAGAAATCGAATGTCTCAAGCGAAGGGATTTGTTTAGCAGAGCAGGAATACAAAACCCATCTGTATGTAGACGCTGTTACTCCAAGGTTGGGGAGCTCATCTCACCAACCACACGATATCAGGATTATGGAATCAGCAAGAATGCAAACTCCATATAAACAGTCTAGAAATGAAAGCTGTAATCAACGCCATTCTACATTGGAGCACATTTCTACAAAATGCGCCTAATGATCCATACAGACAATTCGACAGTGGCGCTCTACATAAACAAGCAAGGCTCAACGAGATCGATGAACCTTTTGAACCTAAGCTTTCAACTGTTCGATTTAATACAAGATCTAAATCTACATGTCAGAGCAGTGCACATTCCCGGAGCCAGAAATATACTAGCAGACGCTCTCTCTCGGCCTCATCTACCATCACCGACAGAGTGGATGATCAACAGGGAAATTTTTGCACAGATAATCAAGCAATTAGGAGCGCCGCTAATAGACCTATTCGCCACGCCGATTCAACAATCAGCTACCGACATTCGTGGTCACCAGTCCCAGACCCCCAAGCTTGGGCAACGGACGCTTTAAGTCTATCATGGAAGGCCTCAATGCGCGCACGCTGCTTCCGCCAGCAATAATACCTCAAGTATTACAGAAAATCAGACAAACACAGAGCCTACAACTCACTTTGGTCGCTACTCTACTGGTCGGCCAGAACGTGGTTTCCCATACTAATTCAAGAAATCGGTCAACCAACACTGGAGCTACCCAAGCGCGAAACCTGTTAATTCATCCTCACACCAAACAAGTGCACGGAAACCCAGCAATGTTCCAACTACACGTATGGACTGTATACAAATGTGTTTAAACAAGAGAGGATATTCTGCCAGGGCGGCAAAAGCAGTCACGCTTTGCCTTTACGCTACTCAACTCGTGAACTTGTAATGACGACAAGTGGCACAGTTTCAAAAATTATGCAACAAAGAAAGGGTTTACAGCAAGAGAGGCTTCACAACCTCAAGTGGCAGACTATTTGTGTTACCTACGCCAAAACAAACATTTAAAAGGTTCAACGATATCAACATATCTTGCCGCTTTTTAGTTCTGTAATCACCATGAGAACGGGTGTCAAATTGACAAGATCTCCAGAGTTACTGGCCTTACTACGAAGCTTCCGATTGAGGACCAAAAGCGAAGTTCCACTTCCAGCTTGGGATCTGAATGTAGTGTTACAACACCTCACGAAAGTGAGGTCTATGAACCTTTGGAATCGACAAACTTTGAATTTCTCTCACAGAAAACACTGTTTCTGCTATCGCTAGCCACAGCAGCAAGAATGTCTGAAATTCACGCTCTGGATTACGAGAGGATACAGTTTGATGACAATCATAACACAGCGCACACCTCGGATTAAGATGGGATTTCATCAAGAAAAAATCAACTGCCAGGTCAACCAGACAGATTATTCCACATCCCGGCGCTTATCCTCTATTCTCGATCACAAGATACACAAGACCTATCACTGTGTCCGTAAGAGCTTCAAAGTTTATTTACTTACGATCCAAAACAAGGAGAAGATTTCTCAAACGCTTATTCATCCCCTTATCGCCTACGAATCAAACAGAAGTGTCACGGACCACAATATCTATTTGGATAAGGACTGTCATTCTCCTGCGTGCCTACAAGGCAGCAGGCTTGGACCCACCAACAGCATCAAATCCACATGAGATCAGGGCACTGGCCTCTACCCTCTCTACACGGTAACTGTTCCTTGAACACGATTATGGAAGGATGCTATTGGAAATCTAACATGGTATTTGCTAATCACTACCTGAGAGACATCACTACAGAAGATGTCTCTGGCATTCACCATTTCGACCACTGGTCCTCGCCAGCAACTGACAGTCCCTCGTGAGAGCGCTTAAAATATTATCCTCACAAGATTAATATGTATTTTATACATACTCATCTAGCTTATAACTCTACGGAGTTTTAGGGCTATGTATATATGTTCAGCTTAAGTATTCAACCTTAAGCATATACTTTGGTATAGTCAATTTCAGTGCCTCTATCAGAGTCACCTATATATATATATATATATTTTATATGTATTGTTCAATATATTCATAATGTAATTCCCTTTAATGGCTTTATATAACCTATGGTTTTCTTTATACAGGAAACATCCTAAATCTAAGCCTTCATGAAGTTCCTGTAGGGGATATTACAGTATATCTATACAAAATCACTAATTATAAATCCAAAGTATTCTGTTACCCACCTCCGTTCCGTAGGATGCTACAAGCAAAAGAGCATGAGTCAGGATAAGGAAAAATATGTAATTTTTAGAGTAAAATTGATATTTTATACTTATCCTGACTCATGAGGTTAGCCCTCCCATCCTCCCCACATAACACTTTGGATTTCCCTGTAAGTTCAAGTGTTGGGCTCGCTAAATCAGGAGAGAGTGGACCACATGGCCAGAGGGTGGCGACACCTTTCCCGCCAGGGGAAACAAAGGGGAGCAACTCGTGGTGAGTACCAATTAGTGATTTTATTTTGAAGGGAGCTTCAAATAAGGAGATACAAGTGTTCCACTATGTTCGCAAGAAGAAGAAGACAAGCAAAAGAGCATGAGTCAGGATAAGTATAAAATATCAATTTTACTCTAAAAATTACATTTTAATACATTAATTGCACCTGATTGTTTACTGACAGGCTGATAATAAGATGCCCAGGACTTGGATTGTCTTATTCCTCTGTACACCTATGCATCCATAAGTCAACTTTTAAATCTGTGAATTTAAACTGACATTTGCTGTTAATTTGGTACCAAATGTCAGCCTCAGAGTAAGTCCAGATAAATCTCTGCATCATCTGTGAACATGATGGGCTTGGTATCTGAAACATGACAACACCAAGAAGACATTTCCCAGAAGTTGAAATGTAATTGTTGGATACTGAGTAACTGTCAGAATGGTTCTGGTTTGAATTGTCATGGGTTGAAATCTATTGAAGCTTTGCTGTACTTTCAGGTATAAAGACAATATTTGCTGGGTCAAGTTGCAATGACTTGGTGACGCTTCATGGCAACAATATCATCAGTGGTCACTTCGACAAGCGTGTCCGGTTCTGGGACACACGGTCTGATTCAAGTGCTAATGAAATCATGCTGCAGGGAAGACTGACATCACTAGATCTCGCGGCCAGGTAATATGCCCTGATTACATACACAACTCTTGGGGGTGTTCTTGGTAATGGGAATACATAGCCTTGTTTTGTTTTGTTATTTAGATCACAGTTGTCCGTGTACTTGGCCCAAGTTCCTGATTGTCAATTCTGACTCCATTGCTGATAGCCAAGTACACTGTGTTTGTTTGTGAACTCTCAAAGTAGTTCCTACTTCTTTTAGAATTGTATATCTCTGTGTATGATGATAGCTGCTGGGCTTGTAATTGTCTGATAAAGCTATCAAAGATAGTGGATAACTAAGGGCAAGTAAAATCAATATATATTTCACACAGACTGAAAATATATTGCTGCATGTATCACCCATGTGAGGAGTGTGAGTTGGAGCATGTGCCCTGTATCTCATGTGTGTTCACAAACTGTTCTGTAGTGTGTAGTTAATTTTCAACTATTATTTTGTTTAGATGACCCAGTTAACAGGCAGGTATTATAGAGCATGAATACTGCTGACTGTCTCTTTAAAAAAAAATAGAGAGAGAACAAACAGCTTCGAGATAAGCTGTCATGGATCACATTCAGAATGTTTGTCTACAGGATTATTTGTAAACTGCTGATTCAGCATTAATCAATATGTTTTCATTCCGTAACAAGCCATACATTTGGTTTTGGACACACATGCTGTTGAGTTGTTCTATGAGATAATTGTCAGCCCACCAGGCTGAGTAATTGTTATGTAAATTACAATATTGACTGAAAAGGGTTTTTTAAGTATGCTGTGATAAAGTTAATATTGTCCCTGTTATTTATCCCAGTACCACTCAACTGGGGGGGGAGTCAGCCTGACAGGTATCTTTTGTACCTTAATTGGTGGTGGGGTAGCCTAATGTTAAAGTGATCACTTGTCACGCCAAAGGGTCACATGGTCACAGGATCAATTCCCCACATAGACAAAAAGTGTACCAGCTGCCGTGATGTTGCTGGAATATTGCAAAAGCAGCTTAAGAACTCACTCACTCACTCGCTCACCCGCCCCCCACTCATTCACTCACTCACTCTCCCACTCGCTCACTCACTCTCCCAAACCCACTCACTCACTGACTTTCCCACTCACTCACTCACTGACTCTCCCACTCACTCACTCACTCGCCCAAACCCACTCACTCACTCTCCCACTCACTCACTCACTCTCCCACTCACTCACTCACTCTCCCACTCACTCACCCAACCACCCAACCACAAATGGATTCACAAATGCAACAACAAAAATCTTGACCACACCGCAACCAATCATAATGCTATGAGTCTCTGTATCAGAGTCACTGTCATATGAATGTTATAACTGTTGTATGTTAATGTTAAAGTACAGGAGGTACCATCATAAAACTGCCAGGCTGCTTGTGTGGAATAGAACCAAGGACCTCTTATGTGTGAACGCTGTAACACTTTGCCCATGTAACACTTTGCAAAGACAATATTGTATTTGTACTGCAGTGAGTGTTGAAGTATTGCTTGGAATCAATTCTAACTCACAGCTGTCACTTTTCATAATGCATTAATGCTGTTCCCACAATATCACAATACAATAAAACCTGGCCATCCATTGTCATGCCCATGAACCAGGTAAAGATGGACTCATCAATCTGGACAATTTATGCAATATTCAGCTGCCAGTGGTTAATTTTGTCAGTTTTATTATGGGTTTGAGTGTTTGAGATGATCTTGCAACATATGTGTGGTGTATCCATTGGCAAACTCTTGTTGCCATGGTTACAGTTTATGATGCAGTGATAACTTTTGTCATGGTAATAACAGGTTGACACACTATAAACCAGATCATGCATTGATTTTTCTCAACATACCTCAGAGGTGCATAACTAGTTGTCGAGTGTTGAGTTTATTTGTGTCCATAAGGAAGAGAGCTTTATTGATGAAGAATGAGGACAACTTTTATGGATATACAACTTCTTTATTCTGTATAGGCGATGTTTCGACATAGATTCTAATGTCGTCAAGCAAGCATTAGAATCTATATCAAAACGTCGCCTATGCAGAATAAAGAAGTTGTTTTTCCATAAAAATCGTCCTCATTCTTCATCCCCACAACTTCTAGAATGCCAATCAAAGAAGCTTTATGGACGTCAACTTCTTTATGATGAGTAACACAACGTTTCAGAGTATAAACTTACTCCTTCATCAGGTGAATCATTCACCTGAGTAAGTATATACTTCAAAACATGTTCCTCATGATAAAAACATCCATCCAGGTTTGATTACCTACATGGGTACAAAGTGGTGTCTCCTTGTGTTCCTCATTATGACTTGTGTTCCTCATTACGACTTGTGTTCCTCATTACGACTTGTGTCATTACAACTTGTGTTCCTCATTACCACTTGTGTTCCTCATTACCACTTGTGTTCCTCATTACAATTTGTGTTCCTCATTACCACTTGTGTTCCTCATTACCACTTGTGGTCCTCATTGCAACTTGTGTCATCACAACTTGTGTTCCTCATTACAATTTGTGTTCCTCATTACCACTTGTGTTCCTCATTACAACTTGTGGTCCTCATTGCAACTTGTGGTCCTCATTGCAACTTGTGTCATCACAACTGGTGTTCCTCATTACAACTTATGTTCCTCATTACAACTTGTGTTCCTCATTACCACTTGTGTTCCTCATTACAATTTGTGTTCCTCATTACCACTTGTGGTCCTCATTACCACTTGTGTTCCTCATTACCACTTGTGTTCTTCATTACCACTTGTGTCATTACAACTTGTGTTCCTCATTACAACTTGTGGTCCTCATTGCAACTTGTGTCATCACAACTGGTGTTCCTCATTACAACTTATGTTCCTCATTACAACTTGTGTTCCTCATTACAACTTGTGTTCCTCATTACCACTGGTGTTCCTCATTACAACTTATGTTCCTCATTACAACTTGTGTTCCTCATTACCACTTGTGTTCCTCATTACAATTTGTGTTCCTCATTACCACTTGTGTTCCTCATTACCACTTGTGTTCCTCATTACAACTTGTGGTCCTCATTGCAACTTGTGGTCCTCATTGCAACTTGTGTCATCACAACTGGTGTTCCTCATTACAACTTATGTTCCTCATTACAACTTGTGTTCCTCATTACAACTTGTGTTCCTCATTACCACTGGTGTTCCTCATTACAACTGGTGTTCCTCATTACCACTTGTGTTCCTCATTACCACTTGTGTTCTTCATTACCACTTGTGTCATTACAACTTGTGTTCCTCCTTACCACTTGTGTTCCTCCTTACCACTTGTGTTCCTCATTACAACTGGTGTTCCTCATGACCACTGGTGTTCCTCATTACAACTGGTGTTCCTCATTACCACTGGTGTTCCTCATTACCACTGGTGTTCCTCATTACAACTGGTGTTCCTCATTACCACTGGTGTTCCTCATTACCACTTGTGTTCCTCATTACCACTTGTGTTCCGCATTACCACTTGTGTTCCTCATTACGACTTGTGTTCCTCATTGCAACTTGTCCTCATTGCAACTTGTGTTCCTCATTACAACTTGTGTTCCTCATTACGACTTGTGTTCCTCATTACCACTTGTGTTCCTCCTTACCACTTGTTTTCCTCCTTACCACTTGTGTTCCTCCTTACCACTTGTGTTCCTCATTACAACTGGTGTTCCTCATTACCACTGGTGTTCCTCATTACAACTGGTGTTCCTCATTACAACTTGTGTTCCTCCTTACCACTTGTGTTCCTCCTTACCACTTGTGTTCCTCCTTACCACTTGTGTTCCTCATTACAACTGGTGTTCCTCCTTACCACTTGTGTTCCTCATTACAACTGGTGTTCCTCATTACCACTGGTGTTCCTCATTACGACTTGTGTTCCTCATTACCACTTGTGTTCCTCATTACCACTTGTGTTCCTCATTACGACTTGTGTTCCTCATTGCAACTTGTCCTCATTGCAACTTGTGTTCCTCATTACAACTTGTGTTCCTCATTACGGCTTGTGTTCCTCATTACGACTTGTGTTCCTGATTAGAACTTGTGTTCCTCATGATGATGGGCGATGGGGTAGCCTAGTGGTTAAAGCGTTGGCTTGTCACGCTGAAGACCTGGGTTCGAATCCCCACATGGGTACAATGTGTGAAGCCCATTTGTGGTGTCCCCCGCCGTGATGTTGCTGGAATATTGCTAAAAGCGTCGTAAAAGCAAACCCAGTCAGTCAGTCCTCATGATGACTTGTGTTTCTGATAACGACTTGTGTTCCTCATTACCACTGGTGTTCCTCATTACCACTTGTGTTATTACAACTTGTCTTCCTCATTACACGACTTGTGTTCCTCCTTACCACTTGTGTTATTACAACTTGTCTTCCTCCTTACGACTTGTGTTCCTCCTTACGACTTGTGTTCCTCATATGACACAAGTTTACATCCATAAATTCCTTGCTGAATTTTATTTATTTTGAATAATTTTGTCATTTATTGAGCACAAACTTGATGGTGTGATGTCTCTTTTTTCAGACCGATGCAGTTTGCTGTGCTGCACTCGAGACGATTCCGTGAAGATTATTGACCTCAGGATGAACCAGGTGTCAGCACGTTTTGGTAGGCAGTTTGTGTATCTTCCATCTTGTTATTGAAGGACACAGGTAACTCTGGGGTCTGTGGTAAAGCAGTTTATGAACCTTCACCAGATCTACTGAATTTGTTGTATTTTTGTCAGGATCTGAAGATTCTGTTCTATCCATGCCTGTAGCTAATGAGTTTGCTCTAGCCATGACAGATCTACTGAATATGACAGGATCATAGTGAGATTGAGTTCTATCCTTGACAGGATTTTAGAAAATGTTTTTTTTCACATAAGTGTTTGTTCTAACCATGGCAGGCTCTAAGACTTTGTTCAAACCATAACAGAATGAAATGAGTCTTTTGATTACCTCTCGTTGTAGCTTGTAAAGTGTTAAATATAACCTTATTAACTCAGTGATACTTTTATGGGTGAGTGAGTGAATTTAGTTTTACACCACACTAAGCAGTATTCCAGCTATATGGCGGCGATCTGTAAATAATCGAGTCAGAACCAGACAATCCAGTGATCAAAACCGCATGGGCATCGATCTGTGCAATTGGGAACCGATGACATGTTTCAACCAAGTCAGCGAGCCTGACCACCCGATCCCGTTAGTCGCCTCTTTTGACAAGCATGGGTTACTGAAGATCAATATTCTAACCCGGACCTTCCCGGGTGATACCCTTATGGACATGATACAGGTGTGAATATGTTTGTTGATCATATTAATGAATACATTTGTTCTGTTTGCAGTGCAGATGGGTTTAAGGTTGGCTGTGATTGGTCCAGGGCTGTGTTCAGGTAAGTAGAACAGCAGGATGTCAATCATCAAATCTGGCATCGAAACACATCCCGTTTGCTCCTGTGTCAAAAACTGTTGGGCCAAAACCAGGAAAATTTGTCAGCAGATCAGATTAAATGACTTGATGTTATGTGTTCATGCCTGCACAAGATCAGGGAATGCCCATTCTAGGTGTAGCACTATGAAGATGGCAAGATCAGAACCTGTTCCACTTTGTGTACTTAGCACAAAGGTTGCTGTAAGCCTGTGTTCAATGTACATATAAACCTGAAGGGTGCTTCTCACTATATATTAGACATGGCTTCTTTTCCCGGAATAACCGCACTTGAGGTTTTTGTTTGCTCTCAGGTTTTACTTTTTGTGAGTAAGACCTCTTCCCAGGTTTTACTTTTTCCTAATTCTATATTAACATCAACATTCAAATTATATGTGAGTGTTTTGAAATCAATTGAAAAATATCGTCAAAGATCAACTTAAATGTGCAAATGTTTTCCCTAGCAGGATTGGAACCGTATTTTTCAGATTCATAAGGAGACGCTCTACCTCACAGCCACCAGGCCAACAAAAAATGAGGGTTGAATTATCTATTTATAGTTAGGCCTACTGTCATTCAATTGATTTTACTAGCGCTTCAGTTACTGTTATGTAGCTTCATTACATGATCATCTAATTATCCATCATTGATGGTTTATATGTATAATAAAGCACTCCTCCTCGGTTATGGTTGGGAAAGTAAGCCCTCGACCATCGGGTGAAGAGTCTTACTTCTCCCCACCCTCCGGTCTCGGGCCTTACTTTCCCAACCATAGCCTCGGAGTCGTGCTTTATCCTACACAGAAATTTGCAACTTTCATACCACTAAGAGCACTGTGAGACTGAGCCTAGACTTGTAATACATTGTCACTCACTTGGAATGTTAGCTTTATGTACTGTATTTCTGTAATAAATACCCCAAGCTTAGTTAACATTGGGGTGCTTTTTAAAAAAGCCCAAAACAACAGGACATATTATTGACTGAATGGGAAGGGACAAAGTTAATACAAACGTTGAAACTAAAACCCACTGCAGTGATAGGGGACCAGATGAGGTGATTTACAGCTTGCATTTTCCATCTGGAAAACCTTTTTAATAATTGTTGCCATATGTGATTGTCTTTTATGCTATCCAGAAATAACAAGCACACAGGTGTGTGTCTGTATTTTACTCCAGTGTATTATCAGGGAGTAAGCAGCTCTAGGGACTCTGTAGCATCTGTAGCATGTCTTGTATGAACCTGTAGCATGTCTTGTATGAACCTGTATGTACTCTACATGTGTACCTGTAGCATGTCTTGTATGAACCTGTAGCATGTCTTGTATGAACCTGTATGTACTCTACATGTGTACCTGTAGCATGTCTTGTATGAACCTGTAGCATGTCTTGTATGAACCTGTAGCATGTCTTGTATGAACCTGTAGCATGTCTTGTATGAACCTGTAGCATGTCTTGTATGAACCTGTATGTACTCTACATGTGTACCTGTAGCATGTCTTGTATGAACCTGTAGCATGTCTTGTATGAACCTGTATGTACTCTACATGTGTACCTGTAGCATGTCTTGTATGAACCTGTAGCATGTCTTGTATGAACCTGTAGCATGTCTTGTATGAACCTGTAGCATGTCTTGTATGAACCTGTAGCATGTCTTGTATGAACCTGTATGTACTCTACATGTGTACCTGTAGCATGTCTTGTATGAACCTGTAGCATGTCTTGTATGAACCTGTATGTACTCTACATGTGTACCTGTAGCATGTCTTGTATGAACCTGTAGCATGTCTTGTATGAACCTGTAGCATGTCTTGTATGAACCTGTAGCATGTCTTGTATGAACCTGTAGCATGTCTTGTATGAACCTGTAGCATGTCTTGTATGAACCTGTAGCATGTCTTGTATGAACCTGTAGCATGTCTTGTATGCACCTGTATGTACTCTACAGGTGATGTATAGAATTCTGTATGTACTCTATGTGAACCTGTAGCAGATCTTACATGACCGTTTGTGTCTGTTTCCAGCCCCGATGGCAGTTTTGCCGCTGCTGGGTCTAGTGACGGAGGGTTGTATATCTGGGACGTCGGCAAGAACAAGGTGGAGAAACTTCTCAAAGAACATAGGTGAGAATGGAAAACATCACAAAATTAGTTTCTATATGTTTTGTGCAATCACCCAGAGTAGTCAAACACTGAATGTTCCATCAGCTGAGGGCGCAAATATTTTTATGACTACCAGACTGAATTTGGCTCTTGGAACCAATTTTAGAGAAATTTAGTGTTATCATGTGGCCTTTGTTTGGCTGATCTAAATATTACTGTATGCATAGCTAAAATCGCAGACTTCTAAGCATTAGTGTTGTTATTGTTGAAGCTCCTACATATTGGTTCTAACTTGTGACAGCTGTCTTGTTGTCTCTATTGCAGTCATGCAATAATGGCCTGTGCGTGGAATCCGATTGGCTCTTCCCTGGTCAGCTGTGAGCGGTCAAGGAAAGTCATCTACTGGGCCCGATTTCTGAACAGCAACACGTAACTAACAAGAGGGAATGAAATCCAATGTGACAGTTATAATCACATGCAGCTTGTGTCTTCTGACAATCAGTATACAGGACGTGCAAAGATCTCTTCGCCAAGAAATTGGCTTCTTGACGCTGAAAATTTTCCAGACAATATTCTAAGAAAATTATCAACCTTTCTTGAACTATTGAATTTCTGACTTCCTTTTCCTTTAGCAGGTGCAGTGTCCACCAGAGCTTGTGTTTAAATAGGCTCCTTTACCTTCTAAAATGATAGCCGCTTTGTTCTCTCCATTAATGTCGAGAGTGATGCTGCTTGCGGGACGTATGTGACTATATCAGTGTATTAGATAATTCTTGCCCCCCTACCTGTCACACACATTTGTAGGACTTTTTTCAGGCTAAATGTCCCATGCTCCTGTATATATAAGTTACATGGAGCCATGTTTGGTCATATTCCTGGATGGTAGGAGATGACAAGGGCAGATAACTCTGCCCACATGAGTGGCATGGAGATGTGATTTATGCATGTTTGACTGGTTACCATGGCAATGCTTGATTTATATTGTGTGTACCACTATCAACAGAAAAAAGTCGAAGAAGCTTTAAAGAAGAAATACCTATCTAACATCATACATTCTTGCCTTTGATTCAACTTAAATGAGGCCTGAACATGTTGAAGTGGGGAATGAATGGCTGAGCTGTGTTCAGATGAAATGGGGTTCAACGTTCAAGATTATTGCACATCCATATATGCACATGTGTGTGTGTGGTGTGTGTGTTGGGTGTCTGTGTGTTTGAGTCGGAGTGGCTGCTTGTACCAGCTCAACTAATACCAGTTTTATGTCCCAAACGCACTGAGATACCATGCCACAGTTTATGATGGATACTTCACTCAGTCATGTTATACTCTGAGGCAAACAGTCCTGATTTTATTCCCTGAATTCTAAGCGGCAAGTACCAACATAAACTATCTGTTATCATGAACCCCTGACCTGGTGTTCTCCCTGCAGACACTGTATTATTAGTATTACCTGGTAATATGTGAACTTAGTCAATGCTTGTATACACCAGCGTGTTGTTATTATGGATCTGTTACACTGCACACCAATTATCTTTCACCAATTACTATTCCACATTGGTGTGTCACATGATCACAAGAGACAGGTTAATGTGTGTGTCACATGATCACAAGAGACAGGTTAATGTGTGTGTCACATGATCACAAGAGACAGGTTAATTTGTGTGTCACATGATCACAAGAGACATGTTAATTTGTGCAAGATTGTTATTCTTTCAATACCTGAAGTATTGCCAGCAATCTGAAATGAGACCTTTGCTATGATACGACACCTCTTTTTATGAACATCTGATGACAACTCATGTCTGAAGCCTGCAGACATTTCTCAAATTCTGTATCTCAAAACAAATATGATCAGCGAGTTCCAAATGCAAACTGACCTGGACACCTAAAAAAAGAAGTATTATTAAGAGTGTATTGGTGTTCTGTGGGGATTTTACTTTGTTAAGATGGTCATTTCTGAATCAAAGTCATGACTGACTGACTGACTGAGTTTGGTTTTACGCCGCTTTTAGCAATATTCCAGCAACATCACGGCGGCGGACACCGCCCCGGTAAGTCATGAAGTCATCAGACCTAGAAATCTGACATCTGATTGGCTCAAGAACCCATTGTGAACAACCTTAATGATTATTCCTTTGGATTTGCCTGTCAAAGTTAGGCAAAATTAAGTCCTATAGACGTGTGTTATAAATCTTCAGAGGGTCATCTTATTGACAGTTATGATTTTAATGAGATAGTATTGTCTGGATAGTATTTAAATGTTTTGTGAATCATGTTCTTCAGAATCTTTGTTTGGTCCATTTGTAACCTTAGGGACCGTTCATAATTTATGGCAAGGGGGGATGATGATGATTTTTATGCAGAAGCATGTACAATGTGAATGAACCCCCTAAAATTTACGTACAAAGTAAGTGACCCCCTTTCATATCATGTACAAAATCAATGAACCCCCCCCTTCCCATAATTTTTTAAAGCATAATATTTCAATATTTGTATGTACAAAATTGTTGACCCCCTAGTACCTGTGTACAAAATTGCTTTTCCCCCTACCACCCCAGAACAAAATGGGTGACCCCCCTTAAAATTATCATCAACCCCCTAGCCATAAATTATGAACGGCAAGTGGCTTTGTGAAAAATATGCCCTTTCTTCACCAAACAGTGAATGGGTATCCAGTAGGATGAGGTGGTTATCTGTCAACCTTCTAGTGCCTCAAAGGCAGCTTGGGTTATATACTCCCCAGGGAGCTGAGAATTAAAAGTGAGTCAGTCATTGGTTTACAGGGTAATGAAAATGTAAAGGCTGGATGGACATACCAATACAAATAGATAGTTTTGTTATATTTGAACCAACTCTTGCTGTTGGTCTACTAAGATAATAGTATTTTAAACCCACCCTCACTGTCTCATGTGAAACTGCTGATGTAGATTTTAAACTACCATCCAGCATTGATTCAGACAGAACAGGTTGAGTGTACCATATGTACTACTTCCCGTTTGATACACAACACTGATTCTGAACTGATGATCCCTATCAAATTATGAGTAGTATATGTCTACCTAGTGCTGGAAGCGATCTTGCCTCAGCAGTGTTATGCTGCCTGTTTCTTCCCGATAAGTAATATCACATATCTTCCTCTATCTCCGTGTAACAGGATTCCATCTTGCCAGACTCTCAATCTGTTTGTCATTTGAGAAGCTTTCGTCTGACTCCAGGAGAATAAATGAAAATATGATTCCAACTCAAATCTAGAATTATTTGGCAAGTCTAGATTGCTTCTGAAGTTAATTGCTCTGGGCTCCATTTAGATTCATCTTGTATTTCATAGATGTTCAACTTTAAATATGATGACTTTTCGTCTTGGACTAAATGTTGATCTAGGGAAGCTCGTGAAGAGGTGCAGGTTGATAACATTAAAGTTACATATGACATAATTACCCTTAAGATAAAGTTGTCGAATTCTGATTGGTCAATAGCCAAAGCATACCAAAACATGTAGGCGGATTTGCCAGGGTGTACAAACCGTACACCCCGTCAAATCTGTCATTACACACTACTCAGATTGTACGAAAGACCTTGACCTTAGATGGAATGTGGCTGCCAAACAGGTGATCGCTTCAAAATTTAAGTGTTGGTGTATCAATTATGTGTATAAACAGAGTAATAGAATTGTTGCCATAATTTCTTATTTGTTTGTCAATAAATATATCCAAAAAATAAATTCTTTAATTAACTTGTTGTTTAACAAAACCTCAAATTCGATAATATTTATCGTAAACTAAAGCCATCCCAAGTTATCTCCCTTTATGACTGTTCAGGAAAAATCATGACGAAACATTTGCGTCTCATTCTGCCGATGATTGAATGTTGTTGTTTAAAGATAAGCTACATAAAAAGATCTTAATGGTAATAAATTCGTCACACGGTGTTTTGAAAGGCTGCGCCTCAGGAAATGCGGAATTTACGAGGGTCTTACAGTCCCCTACACCCTTTCAAAACACTGTGTAACTAATAATACATATATAAACACATCAGGGAAAATTAACACAAGGAGGATAGGGCAGCCATGAGGGGCTTGTTTCATTATAACAACACAAGACAAGTGTGATTTGACTACTTAGTTTACAGTGATAGTCGGGGCGGTGGGGTAGCCTAGTGGTTAAAGCGCTATAGCAAGACCGGGTTCAATCACATGGGTACAATGTGTGAAGCCCATTTCTGACTGGAATATTGCTTTCAGTCAGTGTCAGTCAGTGATAGTCAGGCCAGAGAATAAAGATACATTTATCATGGATGTATTTCTTCCTGGAAATATTGCGGAATGCAGAGTTGTGTCCCTTGGCATGCTGTAATCCTGTAACAATGGGGTACATTCCAGATTTGATCTGATGATGGTTTGTGTTCTGTTAGTTTTCAGACCTGCATCATGTAGGCTTACCTCTCACAAACAGGTATTAAACTAGAAAACTAATTGAAATGAAAAAAATCATAAAAATAACTTGAAATGAGTTGGAAATTTTAACCCCAAAACATGTTAATGACTTTTGAATCAATTCGTTATGAACCACAAAAACAACTTGGGTAATCAGATAAATAAAGGTTATCAATGGTACCAATGGAAATCAGTGGTAGTCAATGATTGTCACTGGTAACCAATGGAAATCAGTGGTAGTCAATGATTGTCACTGGTAACCAATGGAAATCAGTGGTAGTCAATGATTGTCACTGGTAACCAATGGAAATCAGTGGTAGTCAATGGTAACCAATGGAAAAACGTGATAATCAATGGTAGTGTTTGGAATTCAGTGGTAGTCAATGGTAACCAATGGAAATCAGTGGTAGTCAATGGTAACCAATGGAAATCAGTGGTAGTCAATGGTAACCAATGGAAATCAGTGATAGTCAATGGTAACCAATGGAAATCAGTGGTAATCAATGGTATAACCAGTGGTAATCAATGATAATCAGTTGTACTCATGACTTGGTAGCCTGTTGTGATTTTGTATGGTGATATTGACCACGTGTATGTAAGCTCCGCTAGGTTGCGACACTGTGATGCAGGTATACTATGGCAGCATTTACAATGTGAATATTACACACAACGTATGAATGCCTGCTGTAGGCGCCGATCCTGTACATTAGCTGTGCTCCATGACCGGGACTGTAAATATTGTACAGACATATATATTCATATACTCCTACATTGTAATTATATCTAATTTAATTTTAATTTAATATCTATGTAAATGAAATTGAAGCTTTTCAGTATCTACTGATTTTGAATTTGTAATTAATGTTTGCAGAGTTGTCTCCCCTCAGCATTTGAAGAATGGTTGCAATGCTTCAGAAATATCAGTTCATTTATAAGAATTGTTGTTCAGAAAGTATCAGCTACTGTTTGGTTTGGTTTAGATGCAAAATGTAGATATTTGCAAATTCAGTTAATTATGCAAACATGAACATATCTCCACTGGGTAAGTTATTGATATTGTCACCAAGCCACAAGGGCAGCTGAAGGAGTCGTCGGCACAGGTACTACAGATATGTACCCCAGGTACCTTTCTGTATACAGGAACACACCCTAGCCAGAATCAGAATACAGAAACATACCCTAGGACGAGTCCATTCCGCATTGTGCTGTTTTCTTGATCGGAACTGTCATACTGTTGTATTACATGCAATGTATTGAGTTATATAAGAACATAGAATACACAGTAACGAATATTTTGCCATGTATAATACCACTCGCAATCAGTTGAATGAGAACAACTATTTTACGGTTTTGGTTTAGGGTGGCAGAATATGCGCTTTTCCCCCATTTAGGGTACCTGTATACAGAAACTCACAAGGGGTACGTACCTGTATACAGAAACGCACAAGGGGTACATACCTCTATACATAAACGCATAAGGGGTACATATCTGTATAAAGAAACGCACCAGGGGTACATATGTGTATACAGAAATGCACCAGGGGTACATATCTGTATACAGAAACGTACCTGGGGTACATATCTGTAGTACCTGTGCCGACAACGACCCCTTCAGCACATGTATTTGTTTTGTTATGTTTTCTTATCTTTGTTTTTGTTTTTCTTTGTCTTTGTTTACGCGTGAACATTGCGAGGTGAACATTTTTCCATGCACTAATCAGGGAGGGTGATTATTTATAAGTTACCCCAAAGACTTGATCCCAACGTGAACATGAGTAAATCTGAGTGTAGTTAGTTGATAGTGAAATTCCTTCATTGCAGTTTTATGTAACCCAGAGTAGATAGTGAAGGAATAGTCGGCTAAGATAATGCAGTTTGCTGTGCAGAGTCGCCTCCCTTATATGTGCCAGGAACATATGATTATAGGTTTGAATCTAGGTTGACAAAGTGTTTCGTGGTCTGCCAACTTTACCAGTGCTGATGCATTTCCCAAAGTGGATAAAGAGTAAGATATATTACTTCCAGTTTTGTTCACACACAACAAATGAAAACGCTGGCAAGTTGACGATTTGAACCAAGACCTAGATCGCCCTAATCACTGATAGACAAAGCCTGTTAGTCCGAGATTAGTAACAATAGAGAGGGACTAGACTAGTCATTTTCATCCTAAATTGAGGATT